GCGAAGTTCCAAGTTGGCACGACCTAGCAGCTGGACCACTTGTTACGGGGGTTTATTGAGGTTCACAGTGACCGGGAAAATAGGAGCAGCAGCAGGCAAAGCGTGGCCAGGGAACGAATAGCCGAGCAAGCCCGGCGATGGCAATGTTTGCTTACTTGCATGTTCCTTTCTTTTGTGGCTCTCACCCACTAAGGGGGATTGGCCAAGAAGCCGGTGGCTATTGCAAGTCAATACCTTTAGGTCTTCTAGACTAGAGGAATATGATTACTGTGTTTTGACTGTAAAATTAATTTGGTGCAATGTAAAAAAGGAAAGAAGGGGGGGAGAGAAATAATAGAATTTGTTGAATATCTGAGGTGGAATCGTTATATGAAATTCTCCTGAAAGTTGAATCATTGCAGTGTATCAGCTAAATAATAACTGGTAGTGTGTCTAGTAAAATTCGAGAGCTGATTGCTGACTCGATCAGCAAGGTAATTTTCCTGTGTTATATATGAATTTGCACAGAGCCCCGCAAATGTTCCTGTCGCTGTGTCCCAATGAAGTGGCCCCAAAAGACAAAGTATTGGGAGTATTAAATGCTATTCATAGCTTTCTCAATAAAATTTCGAAGCAGTTTTTTCTTTGATTTTTGAAACGGTGACATGTGATAAGAAAATGGTCGATATGTTCAGGTTCGTTACAGCTTGAGCACAGAGGGGATGGCACCAGACCAGACCTGTTTAAGTAGAAATCAGGAGGTGGTACACGGCAACGTAATTTTGTTATCAAGACTTCCAATTTACACGTGGGACACCATTTATTATTCCATGTGAAGTGCAGGTGCGAGAAATCTGGATTCAGTATCATGATTTTTTATGAGTCTTCAAGAAAGGAAAGTTTTCTAAACCTCGCTGCTGTTACATAAGCTGTAGGAAGCATGATTGGCACGATCGGAGGATGAAGAGATGTTCGCGCAAGTGTGTCAGTCATCTCGTTTGTAAATATACTACGATGGCCTGGCACCCATATCATTCGCACTAGACGAATGTTTGCTGTAATTAATAATTTTAAAGTTTCTAGTACTGCTGATGTCGACGACGATGATAAAAAATGATCACACGGAATACGAGTCAGACACTATCACAGCTGTCGAATGAGTCGCAGGAAGTTTACGAATAGCTAGTGTAACGGCCATTAATTCCGCTTGCTTTCGCATGTGTCCATCTTCTTCCTCACAATAGGCACAATCAAAACACTAAAACAGCCCTTCTTAACTTCTAATTCATGCTCAAATATCAAAATGGCACGATAGGAAAGCAAGGAACAAAATAGGCATTTGCCTATATTCCGCTCTCTAATCACATACGTCACTACTTTGGGAAGTTTTAGAGGCTTTAGGTCAAAGTTTGCTACCTTATAGCGCCACTGTTAATTCGAACATCGCGGTAAAAAAAACCACCGTAGGCATGTTGTAAGAGGTCACAGACAGCGAATTCGCAATTAATTCACGAATGCTAAAACGCTTCACTGTCCGTTTAAAGCCCGTCAATGCCAGCATCATCTAAGAGCTTAAAATTGTCTCTCCGAGCCAGCGAAGCGACACCAAAAGGCAGGTTCAGGAGTTAGACTTTGGGTGGTGCTGCTTAGACCCAGATCCACAAAAGAGAGAAGCGGAGGCGAAACAACAGTGCTGGCAGTTGCTTGCACCACGCTCGGAGCAGAAAACAGGTAATAAAAAGTGCAGAAGAGACCGTAAATTATAAAATTTATAATCACAACAGAACAGAACATGATAATGAATATCCACATAATTGCACGAAAACAGAAAAAAAGGAGCAAAAAATGCAGATAACGCAAGAATGTAACGCCAAAGAGCAGGATGAAACCGAAAAGCACATTGTAAATACAAGCGAATGAATACTGCACAGTTTCCAAATCTTTGATTTGAGGTGAAACTTGCTTAGATTATTTTTTTCTGTTCATTGCTGTACTTCCATGTTCAAGACCGATACCTTTTTAATAAACTCCAAATACGTATACGTCCCATTCATGGTTACGCCAGTTCGATGCTTCACTAGTGCACAATCACCTCAGGTAGCCTGCTCCACCCCTGCTATGTTAGCGCTAGCACCTTGGAGGAAGTTTTCCGACGATTTAACAAGTGTGGAAGGATCATATTTGGTCACTATACTGAAATGAAAGCAGTGCTTACTCTTTATTATATAACAGCACAATTTATTTCCACTCTCGTTCCTTAAATTGAGAATCGTGCAGTTTAATTTGACAGAAGGGTCCCATGCTGAAAACTACAGAAACACACTACGTTAGCAGCCAAAACATTTTTCTAGGTGGTCGAAATTTCAGAAGCCCTCCAATACGGCGTCTTTCATAATCATAAGGGGGTTTTAGGATGTTAAACCACACAAATCAATCAATCAAAATATGTTTCACTTTTCCCCCTTTCTCTGCTGTCCACACACCAAGGTGGTATATTGTGGTTACGGCACTCGACTGCTCGCCCAAGAGTCGTGGGTTCGAATCCCGGCCGTCGCAGCCGCATTTACAATAGAGGCAAAAATCTTTGGGAAACGCGTACCCCGAGTGGTCCCAACCGCAAGTGATCACAATTCCCGGTGGTCTCCGCTAATGTATTGCCTCATAATTGTACAGTGGTTCCGGACGTAAAATTCCAGATATTCATCACAATTATCCTTTTGAGTAAAATCTTCCGGCGGGCTAGTTAGTTGGTTCACTGCTGCTCAACGTTCTTGAAAGGACACTAAAGAGCAAACAGATCACGATTTCGCAATCCCCCCAAAAAAACTACTTTTACCGTGGCATGACGTTTGGTCAGCGAGAAAACTGGCGTAAAGAAAATACGGATGGAGACGGCACCTTAACGGGTCCCAGAAACGGATTTTTCGCATACCGTTTTTGATTAGACCACTACTGGAGCGAATCATTGGCACCAGAGTTCAGTCGGAACACCCATTATTAACGGAGCTACGAGTACTGAAAAAGTACCCTCCTCCTCCGCTCCGCATTTTACCCTCGAATGCTCTCAACGTTTCTTTTGAGGACTCGGGGCTAAGCTCCGCCTTCACGGCGCCTGCATCACAATGTGGCGTGAGACCGCATACGCGGTAATCCCGCCGCCGATCCAATACCTGCAGTCTGTGCTGTGCGTTCCACAGCCAATCAGATCAGCTGGAAACGATGACGTCAGTGGGGCAAAGCGTGTCGCTTGGTGTATGGGCTGCTGAAAACACGTTTGGCCGAGTAACAGAGATCTGCAGTGATCTGGGGCGATTCGCAGCTTTAAAGCGTTGTAATAAATTACGCAGCTTACGCATAGAGCTCATATTGGTATCCAAGTTACCGTAGTGACTTGGTATGCCAGGTCAATGTGTTTGTAAACACTCGTCAAAACCATTTCAGTGTGTCTTTAAGAATCCTGCACCAAACACCGGAACGTCACAAATTTCGAAGGCGTCTGCTCGCTCCTACATGGCCTCTAACCAATAAAAAAATAAGCTCGTTGTCATGTCTGGTTAGATATACACAACATACGAAGTTTCAGGAAATGTAACAAAAATACGAAAATGCATTCTGGAATGCCTCACGTTAAGCGTGGAGCTTTCGGCGTGAAATTTAGAAATGACACTTCAGTCTTGATTTTCTCTGCTATCAATGAACTTATGACAGTAAAACATGTGGCATTAAAGTTCTCACAGAGCAGTTTCTCAATGTAAAGCTAGCCATTGTTCCTCTTTAGGCTCTCTTTGAACTGCGCGAAGTGACCAGGATATAATTAAGAAAACAGAGAAGATCAGTGTGCTCGGTGTTCTCCTTATTTTGTCCTGGTGATTTCGCGCAGTTGAAGAAGGTCTATAACTTCTGCTCAATAAACAAAAAGGAGTCCTCAGGGCACTTTTGTGTCACACAACAATTATTGTCATTTACGGACTCCTTTCTCAAGATGTGTGCGCTGGTTACTTTCCTCTAAAGAATACTCTGACATGCTGATAGAGTAGACCCGTGTACTCAGATTTGGGTGCACGTTTAAGAACCCTAGGTGGTCAAAATTTCCGGAGCCCTCCACTACGGCGTCTCTCATAATCAAATGGTGGTTTTGGGACGTTAAACACCCCAAATCAACATGCTGATAGAGTGCACGCCGTTGGTGAACTGGACGTACCAGATGCGCGACGATGACTTACGCCAGGAGAGACGAGCAGGTTAGATGACGATAACTGTTGTGCGGAACAAAAGTGGCCCCCAATAAGTCCTCCCTTTTAAAGACGATAGTCTTTCATGGGGACCTTCGACGCAAAAAATTTTGGTCTGTCTGTCTGTCTGTCTGTCTGTCTGTCTGTCTGTCTGTCTGTCTGTCTGTCTGTCTGTCTGTCTGTCCGCCCTTAACGATACTCTAAACAGCACCAAATGGTCCTCCAAACGGCTGACCCCATCCGCAGCGCCCACAAATATTGCTCAAGACTTAGCGTTCATACTTCTGCGATTGTCAATTAAAAAGCAATTATTGCGCATGTCTGACGCACCATAACAACACGTCAATATTCTGTATGTGTGTCGTTTTACTAGAAAAGGCATACATATAAATAATTATAAGGACCGTAGCGTTTATCACGCTGCACTGACGATGCAACGCTTGCATGAAAAGGCAAGTGTTTCCAACGCTTTGCTGAGACGACACGGTGGTGGCACCTACGCGTCGCCTTGCGTTCTACATCTCATTGCTTCGGAGACGGGCATGCACGCCACGCGCTTTCTTTTCCAAGATCACTGCGAAATAGCGCTCATGTCTCAGGCGTGGTGTGACTTGATGCGTTCGTTTGCCTCCGCTGCCCACTCGGGGCACTTTAACGCAGCGCCTCCCGAATGCCACTCACCATTTTTCTTGCACAAAACATCTGATAAACATTTTCTTCACTTTCTTAAGACGCACGACTATTGTTTTTCGACGACATTTGCCGTGTAACATGCAGGTACGGGGCCAATTTTTGTAGAGTGCATGCTTTTATTGATTTAGAAAAAAAAAGGTGCATGCCGAATGGTTTACCGGCCAGACCTTTACTGAACTCCCTGGCATAACAGCTTTGGCTTTGTACAGCATCTTTCACCACAGAAGACATGTTGCCATTTTTTGTATATTCAAGCTGCATAATCAGTGGTGATTTACGATTGCACACAGTGTACAATTCACCACTAGTGTGCTCTCACCCTGTTTATCTTCTCGTCCAGGACCCTAAAAAACTCGATCTGGCTCGATGACCTCTCCCTAGAAAGAGAAATATACATTGCAATTAGGACGACTGCACTCGTGATAGCTCGGTGTACATAGGTCTATGCTGTCTTTATTTGATATTTCCATGACCCGTGTATTCACTTTCTTTTTCGTCCTGCACTGAAAAATGTTTGCATGTGTATTATATAGCCATTTACAGCGTAGAGCAAGGCATGCTATGAGGTAGAGTCTCTGTATATTTGTATATTCTCATGTTCGTTTAGAATAGCTGACTGCTTTGGTCTGTTAAGTTCTTCAGAATGTACAGCAATCAGCAGACGAACATTCTTGCGCGCTTACTTATTTCAGCTGTGCCTTCCGCGGTTTTGAATCGAAGGTGGCAAATCGCACAGAGTAGGCAGATACGCAAACGAAAGAGGTGGTGATATTGCGGTACTTGGACCAATATCTAGCGTTTATGATGCATATTAGTCAGTTCAACCTGGTATAAAACCCTTTCACTGAAGACCCGGTGACATAGTCTGCTAGGCCCTGGGTATAGCAGCTGCATCTGCATTAAAGTTTGCGTGCTTGGCATGGTGCTCCTTAATTACTGGCTGCATTTTGTTCGAGTGTTAGTTCTACAAATGGTTGTAAGCATTACAGGAGGTCAAGAAACGCTCACATTTAATGTGAGCCCCCGAGAATCGTGCCCCCAAGTTGGTAGTGTGATTCACTGGAGGTGGTGCTAAAATAACTGAAAGTGCAAACGCTACCCAGCGAGCTAACGAGCATCTACACTGCTTTGTAGGCAAAGTGCGACAAATTTTACAGCTCATAATTTAAAACGTGTGACAGTGATTACCCTTGTTTGATTTTTAGGCAGCTGCCAGTGGTGTAGGAGAGGTCGCCTCACCCGAGCGAAGGGGTGACATAAAGGTGCTCTTCATCCTTCATTTGCCTCACCCTTTTCCCTCCTCATTTCTAATGGTAGTGAAAAGTAATTCTTTGCTTTTATAAAGGTCACGTTCATACATTAATTTATTCCTCATTCCAGTAACATTGTATGACGACCTTACAATGCTAGATTATTCTATGTCAAGTGTATAAATGCCGATGCGCTTCGCCACTGGTCAGTTTTCGATCGACGGCTGACGCTCTGCTCGCCGCTCTCAGTGCCTGGCTATAATCTGACTTTCGTTTTACGCGGCCACAAGTGCGGCTAAATAAAAAAGTTTAATCTGAACGTCCAGTTTGCTTCCTTCCTCCGCGTCAAGGCTGTTTCACATGACACAAAAAGTAGCGATTATCAGGCTGCGAATTTGCTCGCCGCGAAAAAAAGGGCACTTCGCTCCCGCCGCCGCAGTCCGCGGCGAGCTTTCAACATCTTGTAAATTTTCCCTCTGATCGCAGCGGCGGGAGCAATTTCTGGTCGGGACCCTTCGAAATAGGGCTGGTCCGGCCAAGCCGTCGAAATAGACTCGACGTGCTTGTTTTTGTAATGGCCGATGCTGTGCATTTTAAAATGAATTCAGTATGGAAAGTGTTCTTAAATGACAAAACAACCAAGCCCTTCGTTACCGTTCATGGTAACTTCATGTTATCATAATGCACATTACATTCGTGTCTGTCACAATGAGCGGTGGCAAGAACTTACCGCTCCAGTCGCACAGCGAAAATCATGGACCGTTCGCGGTCCATGTGAAATGAAACTGTCATTAGCTACGGTTGCGAACAGAGCCATTGGAGCGAACGGAACAATTTTTTTTTTCGCTACAATCGCGGCATGTGAAACACCCTTCACGCGGTGTCTGCGGCGGGTGATGTTTCCGGCACCGATGAAAATATAGAACACCTGTTGTGCCACTGTCCTCAGTTTGCCTCAATGAGACAATACTTGCCAACACGTTGCGGCGACTGGATGATCGGCCTCTTTCTGTGCCGGTGCACCGTCCACATCCCTCGACAGCCCACAAGGCAGTGAAGGCTCTCTTGTGTTTCATGAGGACGATGGGTTTGTGTGAACGCGCCGGACTTGCTGTGGAGTTCTACACGCTGCAGTGAATTTACTGTCTGTATTTCACTTTTTCGTTTCCTTCTCTTCCCTATTTCTCACCTTTCTAATACCCTCCCTTAATCCACTTGTGTAGGGTAGCCAACCGGATGTCTTTCTGGTTAACCTCCCTGCCTTCTCCCCTTTTGTGGCTTCCTTCCTTCCTCCTTATTGCAACTCTGATCGATTTCGCGGAACACTTACTTCAACATACAGTGAAAACTGCTTTATGAACTTGCGCATGGTTGTTTCAATTACTCGAGCAGCACAGACCTGCCGGCAGCGCAGAGCAGCTTTCCATTAGCGAGCACACGCGTGCGGAGCCGCATCCGAGTGCCCACGATGACGTCAAACTCGAGTGGCCACCACCCGAAGATATCGGAGTGAACAGTGAGAAGAGCAGTATACTGCAGATAATACTTTTTACAGTGAAAGCCGTTATGAGATCACAATTTCAGTCACAAGTGGCGCCATAGTTGTCCGCTGCCACCACCGGTGTCCGTAGCCGCTATGTCGCGAAATAAAAAAAAACCTAGTACCAAGGACACAGTGAGGCTTGCAAGAAAGAAGCTGTGAAAGCCTTGAAACACATGCGGAGGCAAGGACCACTAATTTGAGGCTCAGGCGTTTATTAATCTTGGCAAAGGTAAAAGTGATAACCTGAGCAAGCCCCCAGGTCAAACTCGAATGTCTGAGCGGCGAGACAAAAAAGAGAGACCGCAGTGCTTCCTTTGTAATAAAAAGGGTCACAGAGCTCCAGATTGCTGGACCAACACAAAGAGCCCATTACAAAGCCACCCTTTTGTGGAAAGTGTGGCCGCACCTGACATAAAACAGGTTACGGCCCGAAAAGGGCCAACAGCGTTGAGAAGGCCTCATGCTCTTTACAACAAAAAAAAATGGAGCCAAGGTAATTCAGAGTCGCAGGCTTCTCTTTGTGTTCTTTATAGTCCGGAGGGCGCGCAAACGCACCCAGCCAAACTGAAAGAAAAACCGATATCCACGGGCGAAGGTGTACTCGAAGGACATCCTGCAAAAGTACTGCGAGTTACCAGATGCAATTAAATCATTGTCAAAAGGTCTCTCGTGGCGGAAAGCAAGCTAACAGAAAAGATTTCCTCGATTTACTTCTTTGGCGGATGATTGATGAAGCTGCCTGAAGCACACGTGGCAATTATTTCACCTTTCTTCACTGGCAAGACTCGAGCCCTTTGCATGGATAATATTTTATGTGATGTTTTTTTTTTGTAAATGTGGAAGGCGTTCGTGATGCTCACAATCATGATAACGATTGGAATAGCCGTCCTTACACCCGTAATGCTGCAGAAGAGTATTCTGGCACAGAAAATTTGGCTTCTGCACACGGAATGTTCTATGCAAAGACTTCGACATCGGCTGCAAGGAAAACACGTTTCAAGACAAAAGTTGCAGCAGTAAACCAACAGGCCAGAAATCCACATCTACTCCCGGCTACAGTTATTAACCCCTTGGACGTCAGCCCACAGGAATTCAGAACCAAACAAAAGGAAGACAGCAGCCTGCGGAAATGCTTCGAAGCCAAGAGGTCAAGACAAGGTTTGCTAAAATAGTGTTCTTCATAAAGGACGGAATACTCTATCACAAGTACACCCTTCACTCTGACAAACAGGTAGATCGGCTTGTGATACCAAGGTTCCTCCGACTATTTGTGATGAAAATAGCCTACAAAGGCATCCTTTTGGGCAATCAGGGAATTAAACGAACCACAGACTGGGTACTCGAAGAGTTTTACAAGCCGGGGGTTCAGTCCGACATCACACGATTTGTTAAATCGTGTGACATATGTCAAAAAAGTATTCCCAAGCGCTTGGTGGGTCGTGTACCACTTGGCAACACTCCTATAATTGACACCTCTTTCAATAGGGTAGCCATTGATATCATGGGTTCATTATCACCGATTTCAGAGGGCGGAAATAAGTATGTACTCACAATGGTGGACATGGCAACGCGTTATCACAATACTGTAGCACTGTCGAGCATTGAGACGGAGTAAGTCACTGAGGCACTCCTGGAGATGTTTTCTCGTGTACGGGTCCCCCGAGAGATAATCAGTGACAGAGGTACGTTGTTCTCGTAACGTCTAAGGAAGGAGCTAAGCCCACTTCTCTCCTTCAAACAACTTCCAACAACCCCATATCATTCCAAGGCTAATGGCCTTGTAGAGAGGTGGAACGACACACTGAAACATATAATAAGAAGAATGTGTCAGGAAAGTCAGATGAAATGGGAACGGTACTTGGCGCCCTTACTTTTCGCTTATTGCGAAGTTCCCCAGTCAAGCTTAGGCTTCTCCCCGTTCGACTTGCTCTACGGCCGTTACGTCAGAGGTCCCAAGGCGATATTTAAAGAATTATGGGCCGCTGATCATCTTGATGTTGATGTAAAAACATACTACGGGTATGCAGTCTAACTGCGGAATCGTCTTCAAGACACTTGCCGTTTAGCCAAGGAGGAGCTTCAGAGAGCGAAGATAGTGCAGAAGGAGCATTATGAGCAGAAAGCCAGACCACGTCAATTATCTCTTGGAGACAAGGTTTTGTTACTGCTTCCATCAGATACCAACAAACTGATTATGACGTGGAAAATACCCTTTAATACCCCTGAGAGGGCAAATGATGCCGAATATTTAATTTACCTCGATACCAGAAGCACGCTTTTCTACAGAAAACCTACTGATAAAGTATGAGGAACGGCTGCCTGCACCGCCGCATGAAGCATCAGCTGTTTGCCAGGCGGTTGACACTGAAAACAACGAGCTACCTTGCGTACCATTCCAGCGAAAGAAATCGTCTGCAGACGTGAGAATATCGCAGTCACTTTCTCCTACCCAGCACGTGTGACTCACCAACTTATTGAACAAGTACGACAACTCATTTATGGATGTTCCTGGCAAAACGCACCTCGTACAGTGCAAGCTAAGATTGACCACGGATAAACCCGTGAGCGTGCGGCATACCCTATG